GGTGGTGGTGGTGGTGGTGGTGGTGGTGGTGGTGGTGGAGGTGGTGGTGGTGGTGGTGGTGGTGGTGGTGGTGGTGGTGGTGGTGGTGGTGGTGGTGGTGGTGGTGGTGGTGGTGGTGGTGGTGGTGGTGGTTGCTGCTGCTGCTGCTGCTGCTGCTGCTGCTGCTGGTTGCTCGTGTTTGGTCCTTGGTTGTTAGTTGATGTTCGTTGTTTGTGTTGATTGTCTTGGTGTTTGTTGTTATTGTTGCTGTTGTTGCTGCTGCTCTTGTTGGTGGTGGTGGTGTGATGTTGTTGTATCTTTTAGATATGCATGCCAAATGGAAGTTAGTGTGCATGGTTGCGGTTAACACCAAGTGAGCGGAGGCGAAGTTGTTGTGCTCGGGAGTGAAGACTAGGTAGGTGGGGGGGCCTTGTCGCTTGCGGGGCGGAGGGCTTTTGTTGCGGGGGGGGCTCCCAAAGATTTCTACCCAACTGAAAGTTCCTCTCTGGGTTTCGGTTTGGTGTTTCTTCGTGGCTTCTTCTTGGGCGTTGTTGGGCGTTTGCACTTTGTTTCAGGCTCCCCTCTGAGAGAGGAATCTCTTCTTGAAGTGTTGGGGCCCTCTAACTGGGGCCTCTTGAACGTGCAGGAGCACAGCCTCAGGAATCTCTTCATACGCAATTTGTTACTCCTGTTTCCTGTTTGTCAATTGTTCAAACCTCCACTGTATTTACTTGGTTTTGGATCTCAATTCTCAAGCTGTGGCCTTGTTTTGACAGGTGTCCTTTCTCTTTTTAAATGCATATAGGGGTCGCTCGAGTTTCCTTTTGGGAAGTGTGTTCTCTTCCTGGTGTTGACTAGTTTCGGCGGTTTCACGGAACAGTGGGTCTATGGGTCCCTCAATGTTCATTGTTTCTGAGCAAGTTTATCGCACCCTCACGAGGGTTTGCGGCCTCAATTCTCATGAAGGAAACCGTTATAGGCAGCTTGACACATCCCCTAATTCAATCGAAAATGCCGCATGTTGTTGGATCTATGGCAGTTTCCGTGTACTCACCAGTGAATTGAGCAACTTAATCCGAGATCCAGTGATTTATTGGGGAAGTCACTTCCAACATGGCTTTCTCTCTATAGGTCTTTCCTCCGACAGCTCCAAGCTAATTCTAGTAGTTAGCTTGTCAGATCGGCCAACCACTTGTTCCAGAGTGCACGATCAAGAGGATCGGGGTCTTGTTTCGTACCTTTGGAACTCCACAAAGTCAAGTTTGCGACTTCCTCACAGTTTGCCTGTTGACCACCTGAAGGAAATCAAAGAATCCACAAAGTGCCCGGGGCTAGGTCCCGACAAGTACATCACGTTTTACACCAAAAGGCGAGCGTCCTCGGGTGATCTCTCTTCGGGGGAGAGCTCGAGCTCTGTCGGCAGGCAGCTGGAGAGCGACACCAGCTCCATTTCATCGGAGCCGGAGAAGGAGGTGGATGATGAGCTTGACGCCAGCTCGACGATGTCCATGGACGAAGTGGAGTTTGAGGAGACCAGAATTCAGAGCTGGGGCTGTTGTTGTCCGACCTTAAACCTGTTTGTTGACCTTCAACGCGTCCCCCTAGACACCCTTGTTCTTCTTGTTGGTCATCCCCAACGGCTTTCAATCTACCAGGGCACCCTCGTAGCAATCCTTTGAGGGTGTTCACTGGCGGGGCATCACCTGAGTTTGCACACCTTTTGAGGCTGTCACCCTGGAAAGCGACTGGTTCGTGGGTAGCTTTCTGCCGCTTTCTGCATTATTCAAGCAAGAGCCCCGGCAGCTTCCTGTGCTCTTGCGATGTGTGGCATGCTTTGCGCACCTGTCTTGTCCAGCCAGCGTCAGAATGAGCCAACAAAGGATTGCTCGAATCGCGCAGGGCGATCAACACTCGAGGGAAATGTAGGGAAGGCTACTCTGTTCTGATTCTCGCTCCCGAGAACGACTTGTCAGCTTGGCCAGGCTATAGACATCAGTCCAAAGCCCCCTTCTAATCTGGGATCCTTTGAGACGCTGCATGTCAATTTTTGCTAACTATGGACCAGAATCAACGCCATGTTATTATCACTTGTGGTTGGGGAGGGCAAACATTGAGGTAAGAGACTTGGTAAGCCGTTTAATGCCCCAAAAATGCCAAACACGGCCTGCGAGTCTTCGGCGATCTAGCTGCGCTGTCTTTGAAGGTTGGCCAGGCACATGGATAGATTAGGTTTGACTGCGTAGACAACAGACATGTCAGTAACCGTGGCATGTCTTGAGACAGATTTGAGGAACAAATGCATGCATAGAGAGGCACACACTGGTTCCCCCGCGCACACACACACACACGCCACTGGAACCCCGTGCCATGGGAGGCACGCAGTTGTTTTGCCCCCGTACAGGAGAAGACCATCTACAGCGTCCATGAGCTTCTGCAGTGTCGCTCCAAGCTGCACCAGGAGTCCTGCTCCATGCTGTGAAGCAGCGGAAAATTGGGTGGATGCCATGTTTAACTGGCATAGCCGCTTCATAAAAACATGTTTGTCAAGGGCATATTATCAGTTTCCCAATTTTTCCCCTACCCACCCATTTCAGCAACGCAGTTCATGATCCTTACTCCTTCCTTCTGCGCACCCACTGTTGACACATGAGTAAAAACAGTTTGTGCGTATTCGTTTGTATTTGTTCATGCAGCACCCAGTTGTGCAGTGGCCTCTGCTGTCCTTTTTCTGCTTGGAGGAGCCTGTGTGCCAACAGTCGTCCACTGTCGACTATCGACACATCAGCTTCGTTTTGTTTGTGCTCGTCCACCCATGTTTTTGCATGACGTAAACATGGATTTGGACCAAATTCCACTGTTCAAACTCAAGCGTCAACTTCTAACCTCCCTTTGGCTCAGCTAGGGGTCCCTGGCCGTTTGCTCATTAGGACGGGATTTGTATCCCACGAAGAGGGCTCCTAGTGGTGTTTTGGGAATCCTTACCAACCTGAAAAGGCTACCCTGGACGATAGACCCCACAAAAGGTCCTCCATATACCCCGAAAAAAACACGTGATATCAGGCTGGCACCCAATTCAATCGAATGGTTTTTGTCACGTGGTAAAAAACCCTGACAATCAGGGGTGATCTCATCCAAGGACGCGTCCTTTTTGTGGACAAGCATTTATTGAAACTACCGATAAATTTGATTCAAGTGATGATCCTTCATCTATATACAAATGATGCTAGCCCCATGTTTTCTTGGCGAAACCATGACCACCTTCAATCCGCGCCCCTTGTGGTGAACATGTTCAGGGATTTTCAAAGTTACTTCTGCTGCTGGTTTCCTTTCAAACCAGACATGTTTGCTGTGGTCTTACTAGAATGGGCCATGGATGTTATTTCCGGCACCGCCCCGGAAGCTTCATTCGCCCCCCTCTATTTGTTCTCTGTCAGAGTCGGACTCAAGGCCCGAAGCTCCCCCACAAACAGGGATTCACATGCTTGTTCATGTAGGCTTCCAAGCGCTCCTGAACAATCACCCCCTTCAAAAACCCTTCTCTTATCTTCTCTTGCAAGCCTGAAGCCACGGGAAAGGCTTGAAATTCGGGGGGTGCGCAAGGAGCCCTGGATCATCTACCAGACTCAAAAGGTGAAAGCACCGAAGCCGGAGGACCCACCCCGCCAGCTTCGCCAACCTTGGATCAACACATCGAAGGCCTTTTATGGAGAGGTACCCTCCATGGTACCCAACAGGGAAATGGTCCCTTTACAAGGAAAATCGTCCAAACCAGGGCCCCCAGGTTCCATGTGAATTGGTGGGAGGGTAGTAGATCAAGCTGAGAGCACTTCGTAGGATGTCTGCTTTGTTGAGTTAGCACGCCTTCTTGGGGTCTAAACAAGACGAGCCACTCTAGAAATGTCGATGGGTTTTCGTTCCATGGGCCAGTGGCCAGTGGGGAAATCTGGAAATGTGTACGTCAAATAGGTATATTGGCCCAAATTGTTTTCCCAGCTGTTGGCCTCCCTTCAACCCAAAAAGGCTACCCAAAACAGAAACATGGTTTCAGGGTAGCCGTTTTTATGGACATATCCAAATAGAGAGAGAGAGAGAGAGAGCGAGCCAAAGAAAAAATGAATGTTTTTCGTTTTTTTTTTTTCCGGGACCTGCAATCGCTTGTCTTCTTTTCCGCGACGGCATGGGGACTGCGAATCGCTTGCGCCTGCCCCACCGCAAGCACAGTAGCCCAGCACTGTACTCAGCCGGGGCGCGATGGCCGTAATTAAGGGCAGTCAGCTTGTGTCCGCACAAGGGATACCGCTTTGAAGGATAGTAACGGGAATATCCAAAGGCAACGATGGGGGATTCCGATGTCAAGGTATTCCAAAAATACCATCTTTGCAGCTTGTTTATAACATGACAATGTTGCCTTGCACATGTCGCTCAATCAGCCTCGGAATCCAATCCTAGCACGCCATGGAACCAGCCTTACCGGTCAACTTGAAGTTCCTGGCTTTCTCCCCAGCTGCAAGCCACTGTGGATGGTTGCGAACCGCCCGGAGCAGTCTGCTACGCGTATCAACGGTGGCGCGTGCAGTGCTGCTTCTGCTGTTGAACTTCCTTCGGCTTTTGAGCCAGGGCCTTGCAACGTGCTTTCTCTCGCACATGTCCGCCTTGCATTGCACACAGGGTACTTGGCCTCTCCCGGACGATGCAGAGCAAAGGTTTTTGCAGCTTTTACTTGCTGCCCGTTCAGGCGCAAGTTGAGGACCCGACTAAGTAGGTGGAAGGTCTTGGAACTCATCTCTATGCCGGCTGAACACTTCACAAGTTTGCAACGCTTGCATTGTGACACTTTGATGTCGTAGGGCTGAGTACTCACCCTTGCGTTCCTTAGCACGTCGGGTTGTCCACGTGGTTTTTTCGGGGGCATTTTGGTTCAAGTAGCTTTCGCGGATCTCGGGGTAACCTTGGACGCTCGGTCAGATGCCAAGATGGAAGCCGCCCGCAAGGCCCTTTCCAACCCGGACTTCCAGATCCAGTCTGCTGACCGATTCCGAAACCCTAAGGGCTCGGACCGCTCTGCAGCTATGGGCAGGGACGGGGAGAAACTCCATGGGATCCATGGGTTTTCCTCGTGGCCAACCTGGGCCTCAAAAAACACAGCCAGCTGTCGGCAGGAGAGCCCCAGCCCAACGGCAAGGTCTTCTCGGAGAACGGCCAGTGGCAATGACACTTGCCATGGAGAGCCACTTTAGCATGGTTTCCCTGGCAATGGCGCAGACTTAGGGTGCATGTGCTCGAGTGACTCAATTTGAAGCAACCAATCAGCTATACTTTCTACAACTGGGCCAAACTAATCATCTCCCGAGCATCGGCTTTTAGGATCTCGGCCCTGTTTTTTGCTTCCCGAAGCAAGACGTAAACCCCTCGGTCCCAAAAGCAGGCTCGGGCCCGGATGGGAACGACCAAAGGGATTGTTTCGCAAGCATGATGCTCACATCCATTGGAACCCCCAAAGCATGGTTTGACATGAATCCAAGCTTTCTTTTCTACGGATGTGAACCAAAGGTTCCCCAACCGAGATTCATGCCCATATTCCTTCTTTTCCCGCAGGCAAAGGATGTGAGGGTTAGGGGGGATGGACTGGGATAGCCGAAGTTCTCCCTTTGTTGTCAGTGGTTTCGAATGCAGCTGTTTTTCCCCAGGCAGGGTGTTCGCGACTTGGAAAAAGATACACACCTCAACTGCGTTGCTGAATATCTGACGGTGTGGTCATAGCTCCTGCTGCCATTCCACACAGGCATTTTGAGCATCCCTGATAAGGTTCCTTCCGATCCTTGTCTGGGGTGTGGGTCATGATGGCCTTTAAGGTTTTATTGCTTTGCCCTTATGATTTGCTGTTTGCGCCTTGGCTCCTGGCCTTGCCACGTTGGGCTAATCTGTGTGCTGACCACCAAAAGGGGATCGAGAGATACATGTATATGCGTGTTTGTATATACGTGTTTGTTTCCCAGGCCCTATTTGGCACGCAGTCACCTGCGAAATGCGATCCGCAACAAAAATCCATTTGACATCATTTGACGTTAGGCAATGTGTTCCTTTTTTTTTGGTGTATCCTACAACACATCCCATCGGCATGACCCGCCAGCCCATAGAACCTCACCCCCGTTGCCCAAGGGTTCGAAAAGCACCACGGCGGGGGGGGCGCTTCCCCACCTTGGTTTGTCAGTTTTTAACATGCAGTTTGGGCGGGCCAATGTACCGATACGTTTCCATTGTGCCTCACCGTTCAGGCGACTTTTCCGTTCAGGTGAACTGGGGGTTTTCGCTAGGAGAGCATCGCCCGCAGCATCAAGTCCATCCTTAACAAGCTGACGCTGGAGAAGTTCCAGGCTCTCTCCCAGCAACTGCTCTCCTGCGGCATCTCCACTGCCCAGCGCCTCCGATGGAACCGAGTCCGGAAAAGACGGGCGCACGTCCTGTTTTAGGTGGAGGGTGTCCCTTTAAAGCCACCAAACAAAGTGTCTTTTTTGAGTTGGTACCCCTGGTAAATGGTTTTGAAGGGAAACGAAAAGGAGCGCCACCATTTTGGGCGTGTCCTTTGTTTAGGAGTTGGACCCCCAACAAAGTGGTTTTCCTTCGGATGTCCCTTGAAAGCCATCAATCAAAATGTACCATCAAAAAGAGACAAGCCCACATTTTCCATTTGCTGGGCCACCTTCTGGAAAAACGCCTCTTGGATGAAGCGTTTGCTTTCTCGGTCTTGGTGATGTTCAAGCGAGATGTGTAGGGAGCCCTGCATGATCCTATCATCAGGCTTTTTCCCCAGCGCAATCTCTGGAACCTCAATTTGGTGCATGGGCCGGCAACGGCCGGCACAACAAAGGGGCCAAAAATACTTATTGGGATAT